CAGAATTGAAAACCAGATACGTCCCAGATCAATTTTGCTGGCTGGGAAACAGAAGGTCGTGCAGACTGTAAACAGAGAATCCACTCGCGTCGCTGCTAGCGCTTGCAAAAGTCGTTTCAGCCCACGCTTTCCTACCATGGACAGGAGACGACGTTCCGGTGGGCGCGCGCGATGCCGTCACGCAGCCGTCCACCTATGCTGGGTGGATGGCTGCGTCAAAGGAATTCACTTCCTGCCTCTCGACCTCTGGCGCAGAACTACCCGGCACGGGCGGCTCAAAACACCGCCACACAGACGAAGACTAACCGTCGGGACGTATAAACTTAGCCGGATACAGCCGTGTTCCTGTACCATCCTACCTTGAACCTTCGCCGCGTGCATCGACGTCCAGCAGCCGGCCAGGCTTCCCAGCTGGCCGCTGGGATTGTACAGGTGTCAGACAGCATTGTCGAGGTCAAGCCTCATATGACCATCGCGGTTCACGGGTCACACAGAGCGACGCTGTGTATAGTCATCAATGCTTGGGACAAATCACCACACTCCCGTTCTTCCAGCGATGACCGGGGTCTCGCTATTCGGCACCACGCCACAGTTTACCACCGAAAGTCCACATTTTAGAGTCAGCCCCATCTCCGCCTGTCTCACCAGCATAGGCGGCGGAACGGGGAGGGCACCGGGGCACCGTACCCCCCTTTGATTTTGGCATTTTAACATTAGCCCTATGGGCGTTGCGTTGCATCAGGAAAGAATGGGACCAAAAGTCAGCAGTGCCCCCCTTTAATTGAAGGTGTTCCGCTGCTACTGCTCACCAGCCAGCAATATCGCTCTAACCGGGTTATTGCACCAAAGAGTCCGCAGTCTCGACACACCCCGATGCCGACGTCCCTACCGGCTGGCACCGGTGACGGGGCAGGCAGGGCTGCACCACCGAGTCCGTCCTACGTCTCTATACAACCCGTCTCTATACAACTCATGGAGTAAGAAAATGCCGCTTCTCCGTCAGAGCCAACGGGTTACGGGCTCGAGACACCCATCTCGCTACCTGAAACTAGCATACAAGGCGAATTTATATATCTAATATCAGAATTACAATCTAATCTGGTAAGCTGTAGACTAGGTTGGTATAACCTATTGTATTTCAGATATTGTATTATGTATTGACATCACAAGTCTTCCACATACAGCGGGGCGATTAGACTAGCATCAGCAATGAATTTCATATCAAGCGACACCTATGTAATGTGTATGTCAAAATCAAGAGTCATGGTTGATGACCAATATTTTTCAAATTCATCTCTATGAGGCCATTCGTTATGACTGGACGAATAAACGCCATCGTTCTGCCCTTGAGTGGCTGTAGGTACTACGCATAATTATTATGCGTAGTTAGTAGTACCTACAGCCCCCTGAAATTCAGGGGGGTCCTGACCCCCCCGAGATCTCCACCTTTGGCATAATAGGCATTAGGCAGAAGCTGTAAGTATCGATTTAGAAGTTTTGGCACTGTCTTCTTCCTCTTATTCTGTGATGTAATATATAATTACAGACTCAGTAGATTACTTGCTATCTGTAGGTACTGAATTCGTAATGTGTGTGCATGTACATACACATATACAGGATCACATATAATTTCCTAGCGCTGTATTAGTCATCTGGCATCACAGAACCTTTATTCCAGCTTCTAGAAAAACTATAAGCACCTTGTGAAGGGAGTTTTTATATGAGAAACAAAAAATAATTTATTTATCAAATCGTATTGTTATGTTGCTCACGTCATCACATGCAAGTTTGTGATAAATTCATTTGAGTTATAAAATCAAATATGTAATAAAGTACTGGGTTTATCCAGTACTTCGCCTTCCCATCTCTACGTAATACAGGGTATGGCGTATTTACAAATTGCAACCGAGCTCCGCCGTAGGGTATTTTATTTCCGCCGTAGTGTATTTCACTTGGGGGATTTTCTACCATACATCTGCCTGAGCTTAGGGTAATTACAATTTGTCGGCGACGTTCAAAAATGATGCACCTTTTTTTCGCAGTATAGGATATCGCATGTGCATATTTCTGCCTTTTTGGGTACGCTTTATCGGTTTTTCGTGAGTAACTCGCATAAAAACCGTCCGATCGCGACGAAACTTTCAATACCCCCGATTTTATAAATTTTTCACCTACCCTGAAAATTTCATGACCCTGACCCAAATGACCTCTGACCTGTGACCTATTTCTCGAGACCATGTTTGGCCCGAATCGCGATTCGGCGTATGTCGGCTCGCATTAGCCGCGCGGTTGCAGTCTTCACGTGGTTTCAAGCGTTGAGACATGTGATATGATGCTGGTCCCATGCATTAGGGTGGGTGTCAAGGTCACCTGAAGGTCAGGTCAGCTCAATGATCTTTGATGACCTCGGTTCACTTTTTTGAGTTTTACATGTTTCTAGGCTAGTTTTTGGAGCTGATTTCGAATTTAGCAACCATTTGAACATCACAGGGGGTGTAACGAAATTATCCGGACACCTTGCTTCCCGCTGTAAAAAAACAAAACAATCTGGTACTTTTTCTTTTAACTGAGCTTGTAGCCACCTTTCATAAAAAACACAGTTTACTGACCTCGTTTACTCACCTCGTTGGTTTCTGCATATCTTTGGAGTGGTTTCAAAGGACAGTCAGAGAGGAAATGAGGAACCCACACAGTGGCGAATGTTCTGGAGCATTTCAACCAATGGATTCTCCAGCACACTGGCTTTGATGCGGACCAACGCCGTCTAAACCTGTGCCTGCGGTTGAGCAGTGCTTATGGCGGGTGGCTCTTCATACACCTCCTGCTAAACAAGAGCCCACAGGTTTTCGATTGAATTGGGATCGCGACTTTTTCCAAGTCATAAGCGTTTAGCCCAGAATGATTGAAGGTTCTATCGGCATCACTTCCCGTTCTTATAGGGACTTTTAAGTAGCGCGCCGCCACGCATGAAGACAGCGTGGCTTGAATCAGGCATCAGTGCGCGTTCAGAAACCGTGCCCTCCTATGCCGTCTGGTTGAGCGCCTCCAATCATGCTCCACCACCTTCTCTGGAAAAGCTCCACCCTTGCCTATGGGGCAAATTATAAGGGACAAAAACACAAAACAAGACAGATAAAAACAAAGCAAAATTAACTCATTACCTAATGAAATTCAGGCTGGAGCAAAAACATAGGTAATAGATACCTATCTATGTCAAATTAGAATGAAAGATTAAAATCAACCTGACCAGCCCTTACGGTCTGACCGGGTCCTAACCACCTGACCTTACTTCGCCTAACTTGACCCAATTCAACCTAGCCTACCACAACACCTGCAGAGGTACCTTCCTGGAAAAATGACACCCAGGGAGATGACTGTCCAACTTATTGGAATACTACCATGATTGCTTGTCAAAATGTGTGTCATCATGCTCTTGTTTGACAAGTGATGTATAATAAATGTAATATTGAATAATTATCTCCTGACTGTTGACTGTTGAGTGGTCAAAATATTCAAATAATCAGGGTACAATCCTGTGCATAGTGCACACTAATGTCTAATCATGTTGTTTTTGTGTAGGCCCTCTGTACATTGTTGTGTGCACTGCTATGTGCACCTTAAGTAAAAAAGTGACTGGTGGTGCATGACAAAAGGTTGAGCAATTGTGAAGTTCATGCCCTTGGTCTTGCTGGTGCCAAATGCCTATAGCTATAGCAGGATCAGTGAGGGTTGTAGACATGCTACATACATTGTGCATTGAAGATATTGGCACAAAGTTCATCCGTAATTACTATGCTTAACACCTAATGTAAGAACTAAGAACTAAGAAGCGACATAAATGCCCAGATGATAAAGCTCTCTGGTCAACATCACACAAATTTATTGACATACTTTGCAGGTACATATTTACATTCATGGCAAACACTTTCGATTTGATTCAGAAACTAGTTGCTAGTAAGCTTGCATTTTTGTAGGTACAACAACGACCATATATTAAATCATAAAAAACCTTCCCATGGCATTCATCACATACCCTTTTACCGAACAAGTACCTTATACCTAGCTACCATGCAATGATTCTAAAATTTGTCCGCAATCCATCTATTTCTCAACTGACACAATGAATTTCAAATACCCTAACAAAACCTATAACTGTACATAAGAAGAATGCAATACTACAAGAATTATGAATTTCTGAAGTTATTCTCACATGCTGGAATGTTGAAACTCTACTTTTGTCATCCATTTCCATGTTTGATTGAGCCATCATATAGAACTGTTTTCGTTCTTCAGTCACAAGCTTTCCCACAAATCTTGAATTTTTACACATCATCTTGAACGATGCTCCAGTCTTTCCAACAAGGTACTATGTAACATCAAAGCAATTTTGATTTGTTACAACAGCTTCAGATCATGATAGGCTTGAGGTTTGTTACACCATTTGCCAGACAAATCTCTACAAAATGTGTATCAATTCCCAAACTAAGTAATTGATCATATCAGTATTTGCAGTTTCCACACAATGTTTCATAATATTATTCTATGTTTATATAAAGAAACTCAAATAATCCACAAATTGTTATTGAAACACTCCCACTTCAAGAATTCACAGCGTTGTTATGGGTTAGGGCGCGTAAAAACATTGCGCCACATTTCGTATGAAACGCGCCATCGTCCTGAAGTTTCTACCACAGACGGTAGTTCAACCGCAGCCGTAGTGCGAAAACCCCTGCCCACCTTACCCCACGGCGGAGCTCGGTTGCAATTTGTAAATACGCCAGGGTATGCAGCAGAAAATTACGGATTGAATATGTTCTTCTTTATTGTATAAAAGTAAGAAAAGAAAAGACGAACAAGAAAATAAAAAAATATTGTGGAATGTTTATTTTACGATGAATTTACTGCAAATACCTTGTTTTTAAGGAAACGTAAGGAAGAAAACCGAACTAAACGAGTTCTCCTTTCGGTCAATGTTTTGTCAATGGCGGATTTATTTGGGAGACCCAAGGGGGGCCTACTCTCCTCTTCTACGCAAAATTATAATAAAATATGATGTATGATTGTTACTTTATGATGATGCCAAACTACGAACAGTAAATCCAACCACAAATATATCTATTTACAAGTCAACTTTCGTTGTCTTTAGAAGTAAAATTCCATTTCTGTCTACGCCTAGTATCGCTCCTTCGAAAGATTTTGCAAAAAACCCTCACTAGCGCCATCACGCAGAAAATTTTCGAAACGCCATTTTTGATGCGGAGTTGGATGGGAAAGGGGTGAGGCGCTTTGTGTCGGATATTCGAAGTGCAGCGTCCAAAAGGTGAGACATTTTATATTTTGTTCGTCACTGCGTGTGCTTTCTTTGCTTACCGGCGTCAGGATATCGTCAAACCAAAATTTGGACAGAAAGTTCGGAATTTCGAAGTTGCGGCATTCGTGACGCGGAATGGAAAGCTGTAACTTTCTTCCATGCAATATGCTGTATTTAAACTCAAGATCACTGTAGTTGATGTGATGGTAATTAGTTTGTGCATGATTTTTCTCCTAGCAACAACTGTCTTCATTTTATGTGAACTTCATTTTAGACATAATTTGGTTGGTGTTAGCATTTTGGTTGTTTCACTTGCGTGTTGCTGCTAGTTGTATGCTGTAATGGTGAAAGTACGGAGCTAGGTATACCTTTCAATTGGAAATTTTGTTAATGTACTTCTGTGTTCCAAATAGCATGTCCACTTATGTGAAAATGCTTAAACGGATGATCACGTTTAATAATATGACAAGTAAAATGTACAATATTACCGTAAAATGGGGTGTTAAGGGACAGTGGGGTGTTAAGGGACAGTTGCATGGGAAAAACTTTGAGTCATATTAACTTCCTAATTTGAGAAGGCTCAATAAAAACTTCAGTGTGGTAGTTGACACTGTTTTGCTCTTAACCATAGGAGAAAATGGTATGGTTTTTCATGCAAGTGATTTGGTTCAAAAATGGATTTGAAAATCACGCTACATTTTCACAAAATTGAAACATCTCCAAAACTCTGTGTGTACCACATAAACCAGTGGGTGTACAGGGAAAATGAATGCATAGGTGTATTGTCACATGTATTGCACATGTTTCCTGAAAAACTTGGGCAAATCCACCCATTCATTCATCATCCTCTTCCTCTTTTCCGGATACACACATATTTTGAGGTGGATGTGGGGTGCTAAGGGACAGGGAAGAAAAAATAAAAAATAATATCTAAATATAATTTAATTAAGTAGGCATGGAAAACACATCTCTAACACATCTTTAGTTATGTAACAAAACATCTCAGCACTCTCTTTTACAATGATGGGTCAATGGAGACTGATGTAGGTAAATGTGATGTCATCATAAAAAGGCTAAAACAAAGAGGGCAACATAATGACAAGTGACTAGCTTCAACATGGGTTTTTATTGATGACAGAAGATTACTTTTTGGTTATGTTTACCTTATAATTAGCACATTTTCCACAAGCGTAAACTGCATTACACGTAACTGGCTAAAAAGGTCATTAGTGGTGAATGAACCTGACTTGTTTTGTGACAGAATATGCAAAACATTTCAATAAATAAATTGTGTGCCCTTCCACACCCCAATTGTGGGCATTTGATGACCATTTCTTGGAATAATATAGGTGTCCCTTAACACCCCACATTGGGGTGCTAAGGGACAGTGATGAAAAATAATAAAAATAATATGCATGTATATATTTTTAAAACTTTAATGTAGCAGGCATGTAAAGCACCAAATTCCACATAAAATGCTGACAATTTGATGCTTCTATCTCCAACCCTTCTTGAGTTATATAACAAAACACCTCAAAAGTGTCCCTTAACACCCCGTTTTACGGTAATATGATCAATTCCTAAATGCCGTAATATGAGGACACTATTTCTAGGTTTGTGCAGGACATTTGCCCACCTACCTATGAAGGGTGGCAGAATACAGGAACAAAAACAACAAGTTACATTGATAGGTACACTAACAGGGCTATTAAATTAGACCTTCTCATTTTCAAAACCTAACTTGATATAACTTAACTAAATCCCAACCTACTTACCTAAACCCTACTTATGGACATCTAGAAGCCTACCCTTCTACAATTATCTATCCAAATTTTGCTTCATTTTTAGGTGTAGTTTGAATTTTTGACTCCCCATATACCTTTATGTAACTGGCTCATTACATTACATTGCTGTGTAGCTCCCCTATTAGCTAATGCATTGAAAACTATTTTTTGGGGGTAAGTTTGTCAAAGTTTGGTGTTTTGCTATTCATTTTTTATATTTAAATCTGTCATAGAGAAGGTGAATCCAGTTTACAGCTTATGGTCAAAATTATGTTTGGTGATGGGCCAACTCTCACGCTAACACCCTTTTTCCTTGGAAATTATCAGTACAAAAAGAAGAAGTTAGGGACAAAACTATCATAATTTTCCCTAGCTAGGTACATTTTTACACTTGCCCTTGAAATTTAATGACTGACTCAAATTACCTTTGATCTGTGACCTGTTTCTTGAGACCATAGCAGGCCGATCATGATTCAGCATATATCTGAGCGCATTATCTGTGGTTAATTAAGACTTTGTGATTAGAAGCATACCAACATGCAAACTGATGTTTGTGCTATACATTATCAAGGGTGTTAAGTTTACTTTAAGGTCTGGTGTCATATAATTTAATTGTACAAAGGTGTGGGGTAGATTTTTTTTAGCTGGTTTCGTATTGACTATTGAGCACTCATTTGATCATTTGAGAAGTAGTTTTTAGTGCCTATGCATCCTGTTACAAATCTGTCAAAGGTGGTTTACATCTACTTTTGATAGCTGGTGGGATGTCTGCTGCATGACCTGACCTGACCTGGCCTGATCTGATCTGACCTGACCTGACCTGACCTACCCCAAATGCATGAATATATCATCTTTGAGCAGAACTAATATAAAATTTGAAATCAGGACTCCAAAATAATTGGTAGGTAACAAGTCAACCTCACATTAAAATTGTCTAGCAGGCTTTGATTCTCCCAACTTTTGTGTCATTGCCTGACCTGTAAGGTTAGCCAATGACCCAGGACTGTAACCCACTGTTGAGGGTTAACTGTTGTAACTGAGGGGAGGGCATTTAACCCTCACACTTATCAGGGGGTCGAATGGATCCTCTTGGTTTTTCGCAAATAACTTGCGCCAAAAGCAGTTGATCCTGATGAAACTTTCAGTACCCTCGATTTGATCAATTTTAAACATATCCTGAAAATTTCATGATCCTGACCCAAATAACCTTTGACCTAAGACCTGATTCTTGAGACCATGTTTGGCCAGAATTGCAATTTGGCATATGCCAGCTCACATTATGTGCACGTTTCCAGTCTTGTGGTTGTAAACCTTCAAACATCTGAAATGGTGTTAAGGTCACTTGAAGGTCATGTCAAGGTCAGTTCCCTTGATGGCCTTGGTTCACTTTTTTGAGTTTTACACGTTTCTGCTGATTTCAAATTCGCCAACCAGAAGTAGTTTTGGTGCCTTCGTAGTATGTTACGAAGCTTTCATTGGTGGTAGACACCTATTATGGATAAACGGCTGGACGCCTGCTGGTTGGCCTGACCTGACATGACCCGTCTGGGCCTAAATGCATGAAGACATCATCTGTGATCAAATCTGACACGAAATTTGTTATCAGCACCCTGAAAAGAACCTTGTGACAACCTTACTACAAAGTTCTAGCAGGTCCTAATTTTCCTGACTTTAAGGTCTTTGACCCGACCTGGAAGGTCAATCAATGACCTAAGACCTTTAAATGAGATATTATCGGCCTCCTCTCGTCACGGGCAACACGCTCGTTTTTTTCGTGAAGCTCTAGCTCGATCAGGGGCCAAATGGCAAGGGGTCCAACAGACCGCCCTCCCGTCTATACGTTAGTCGCTGGCAAAACACCAATACGGGTGAGGGTTCACGCCCCCTACCGACTTCCCGGGATAGGTTACAAATACAATGCGCCAAGCACTAATCACACAATGGCCCTGAAGTTCACCATAGCTTCTCCTGCATCAATTTTGCATCGTATGTTAAAGTTGTGACGTGTCAGTTTCTCGTTTTTTTCTCGTTTTTTTTTTTGCCGATTTATGTTTTAGCCGGAAGCAGGATGACTTTTTAACTCTGTACCTACAAGGCATAATGTGTGATGGATTTGCAAATAGACACTATAGACACATCACGTGACATCAAATCCCCATTTTCAAGATAGCTTCTCATGTGTCTTGGTGAGACCTTTCCAATGCCATCTCGCTACGATGCTTAGTTTCGAAGAATCTCGGGGGGGGGGGGGGGGGAGTGTTAACTGTTAACCCCCTCCCCATGTCTGTGGCGTTCGACTGGAGGCTCAGGCAAGTGTGGTTTGAAATTGGTTATCATCGGCTTCCTCTCGTCACGAATAACACGCTCGTTTTTTCGCTAGGCCCCAGCTCGATCAGGGGAGGAACGGCTAGGGGTCAGACGGACGTAAGGATCTTGGGACGGACCCCCCCGCCCCCCCACACACACACTCCTTATACGCTATCGGTTGGCAAAACACCAATACGGGGAAGGGCTAGTTAGGTCACAATAGGTCATCAAGAAGGATATTTTGTCTTATTCTCTGGGACGAATTGGGTCATAGGTCGTTAAATGACAGACTTAGAGTAGGTATCGTAAAAACAGTCGTGCCTTTTTAGAGCTCTTTTGCAAATGTAGGTATTTATGAACAGGTATATTTTGATGTTAAAAGGTCAACTTGCAAATTTAACTTGATGCTTAGTTTCTTACTTTTCTGGCCGTAAAAAGATCATGTAGCATTTTCGCCCTGGTTTGTGTATCAAAAGATATTATCGAAAACTGTGGATGACTTTAATTTGTCATAGACGAAATTTTTGTGTTCAGTATTCCATGCTTTTCGATAAGTGATGATTAAGTTGGTCTCGTGTGAACTACGTCAGTTAGAGGCGCAGATCCCTTTTCTATCTTGACACAAGGATTTGACATAGAAAGGTCACTAAATGGACCTGGCCCTAGTTGCCATTATGAAAGAAATCCGCGATGTCTATTTGATCCATATCGTGTCACCGTTATCAGTCACGGAAGGTTCGCTAGCGATCGTTCTTGTGGTTTAGCTACGGCGGGTGTTTAGACTTTGTTGTTGATCACCTGGCGGGACTTGACCTTTAATGGCCTGCTAATGAAAATTTGGCATGTGCAGAAAAGATGTGTTATGGACTTGCCTAAAACTACAAATCCTGTCTGTCTTGCTCTCCTCTCTCGGTTTTGAAAAAATACTTTGTTTTGAGGAAAAAATATTTAAATACCCCTTTTATTACTCGTCTGATACTGTCCTGAAAAATATCATTTTTATAGCACACTTCGGCATGTATTTTTTAGAACTTAGAAGTAAATAATTGTTATAAATTTAAAATTTCAGTCTCAGAGATGATTTTGCAATTTGTATTTCTGGCATTTTCTTTCTTCTTGCGTCCTAATGATTTTATTTCTCGGCTTCCGCAAAATTGGCACCGACCACTCGGCCGATAACGATAATTTTTGGGACACGGAATATTTTCTGCTTAGCTGGCACCTCAAACGACCAGGGCTTTCGATAATCAATGATTTGTGCAATGTGCACGTTTTGCAGCATTTAGGTGGTTGCATTATTCATTGCTTTAGTGTAGTTCCTTTTGTTTATTGGAAGCCAAAATTGTTCTCTTTCTGAGTTGAGTACCTGACTTCACGGTACCTACTCGTTTGTTGGCGATATTATTTCCGCCCGAAGGTTTCCTCGGCCTCGTTCCCAAACAAAGAGGCGCCCGGCCGGCGCGGCACGGCGGCGTTTGCGCCCCGACTGCCGTGTCGTCGGCCGGGCTGCCGGGCCGGCGCGCATTGCTGCCGCCGCGCCGACCCGCTCGCCAAAAGTTTCTCATTATTCTGACGTCACGTCGTCACCAATCGATATCGCCGCCTAGCCGAACTGTTATTGGCTCTCCCGGGTAATGGGGCCGCTCCCCACTCAATTCGAAAGTTTGATATAAAATTTCGATGCTGGCGGCGCGCCAAGAATTCCGCCGCGGCGGAGCCGGGCCGGCGCGGCGGGCGGTGGCGGTGGGAGGCCGGCTGCTCACCGGCCGGAAGGTGGCCGGCGCGGCGGCAGTGGCGGCGGCAGACACGTGTGAAACGGCGTGCAGTGAGCGGAGCGCCTGCCGCCGCCGGCACTGGCACCGCTGTGAGTTACGGTGCGGCGCCTAGCCGCTCTGCCGGCTCCGATGCTGAACAGATAGCCGTCCTGCTCCGTGTGCAATAAGGCAGCCGTGCGAGCGTCTGTGGGCGCGGACTGACGCGGCCGGTGGTCTCCGTGTCTCGGCAGGGCGGTGCCGCCATGAACAGCCAGCAGCAGTACTGTCTGAAATGGAACAACCACCAGACCAACCTGCAGCGCGTGTTCGCCCGCCTGCTGCGCAACGAGATCTTCACGGACGTCACGCTGGCCTGCGAGGGTCATGCCCTGCAGGCGCACAAGGTCAGTCCCCGGGCCGGGCCATCTCGCCGACTGTCGTCTGCAGCCGCCCCCAGCGTACGGTCAGCGCCGGGTAATGACACCGGCCGTGCAGCCGGCGCGCCGCTCGCCGCGATTGGGGACGGTTTTTGCGCGCCCTGGCCGGTTCCCACGGCGGCGCGCCGATGATGCGGCCCACTGGGCGGGAGCCGACTGTGTTGTGGGGGCGTGCCACTGCGGCTAGCACCGTGGGCGGGGGAAGGGAGGGGAGTGCGCTGCCCAGTCCGTCAGTGGCGCTCGGCGTGTCCATGCCGGGATTGCACATATGCAGACTAACTATATCGCTATTTGCTTATATTTGCTCTCGAGAAGTTGAACTCTCTAAATCCTTGCGCTATTGATTGAATAATTTACATAATAATGCCATACAAAGTGACAGTCACTTGAGATATTTCACAAAAGTACACCTCTAGTACATTGCTATACTGTCTGTCACAACGTACTTGTCTCGATCGTCGTGGGTCGACCGGACTCGTTTCCTGGTGGTGAGTGTATGTAGGATAAAGTTGTGCTCGGAGCCGCACACCCTGGACATTGGCGTCAAAGTGTTTCTCTGAACGTGTTCGCGCGGCGGCGATGTGGCTCGGAACGCGCTCTGGTCGGCCCTGGAGCCCGCTCGCCGGAACATAACTGGAAACGAGATACGATGATCTTTAATATGCCGGGCAGTTCGCGGTGTGGCGAGACTAGGGTGCGTTTTGGATTGTCTTTGAATGCATAATTACCGTTTGGTAGATGCAATTATGATAACACTATGCAACAAAAAATGAAAAATTTTCTGTTCCTGGAAAGCGACCGAATTTTTCTTATTCATTGGGTCCTATTATAACCGAAATGGGCATTAGTTTTGATCTGAAAATGCTTTTCCGGTTTTCAGAGACGATTTTCGATTTTTGGCCCCGAAATTCGGTTTTTGGCCCACCGTGTCCGATGCAATTGAGTAATCGACTCGCGGTAACTTTCATCGCCTTTCCTATGCCACAAGCTTTCGAATGATATCTGGTTTTGCATATTTGCGTGCAAAAATAACGTCATAAATCTATGTTAAAGTAAGAAAATGTTGAAATTTTGTAAAAATTTGACATTGTTTTCGATTTCATTTCAAAATAGAGGAAAAACTAAAGGCCCCATCCAAATTCTGAGCCCAGTTCCTTGAAGAGCATTCAATTTCCGTTCGGAAGGTACCTTTTTAGTGCATTTTATCGGATTCCTGTGGCGTCCAGATTGAGTTAACCTAAACACATATCCTTAGTCATATCACATAGCATTAACCTGATAACGTATGTTAACGCCATAGGATCAACGAGGGGTCAACTGAGGTCATTTTGTTGACCCCTTGTGACCTCGGGTCACACGCAGGAACTTACTTTTGAGCAGTCCTGTCGCTCAGAATCTTGATCTGTTGGGGGCCCGTTTTTCAAGTGACTCAATCTGGACGCCACAGTAAACCGATAAAATGCACTAAAATAGTACCTTCCGAACGGAAATTGAATGCTCTTCAAGGAACTGGGCTCAGAATTTGGATAGGGCCTTTAGTTTTTTCTCTATTTTGAAATGAAATCGAAAAAATGTCAAATTTTTACAAAATTTCAATATTTTCTTACTTTAACATAGATTTATGACGTTATTTTTACACGCAAATATGCAAAACCGGATATCATTCGAAAGCTTGTGGCATAGGAAGGGCGATGAAAGTTACCGCGAGTCGATTACTCAATGGGGAATATTTGTTTCTGGTCCCTAAAAAGCTGTTTCTGGCACCTAATTGCTGATCAGCCCCAAAATGCTTACTCGACCCTAATATCTGAATCTGGCACCTAATTGCTTCCACACAGCCTAAAGTTGCCAGATCGTCTAGTTGAACTCCGTATTTGCTGTTTGCTGATTCAGCACCAAAACCAAAACATCCAGCACCTATTTTATTCCACGTTTGCCTACCTAATTCGCGTAATCTTCCTGATTTTATGTATCCTAACAAACATGAACGTTGCATTCGGTGATGTCAAGTGCCATTTTCGCCAGTGGAGATAATGATTAATGCCATTTCTAGCCAAAAGAGAATCACTAGCCAGCTATGGTGCAGCATGGCAAGACGCTCCTATACCAGCCCGCTATGTAGAGATTATTGCACCCTCAGCCATTTTAACGTGAAAAGTTTGGATCCGTCACTTCCAGCCAGGCTCTCAGGTCATAAACTGGAGTAAAGCAAAATGTCAACTCTGAACAGACATGCCACGCAACTGGCCCTCTTTTCAATAGCTTTCTGCAATCATCGTCTGACTCCATCTCGATCAAACGCAGCCTCCGGTTTCTACAGGGGCGTTTGACTGACCGGCCACACAATAACCAAAAACAAAATCAAAGCTTCATGCACACATAAGTAAGAAACGGATGAAAAAAGGCACAACCACGGCACAACTCTGCGCGGCAAACAACGGACAATGTCCCACGCAAGATCTCGCGTTTCTTCAGCGGCCTTGAACGGAATGAAAACATTACATTTCTTTTTTGGAGCTATTTGATGACGTCAAAAAATACAATACCCGTTTTAATGGTGAAAATCGAGACAATTACTCACAAAAATGTTTCCTTTTAAGCATTACAAATAAATACTTTTAAACATTTAAATGACATTGTTTTTTTCGAACAAATCAATATTATTTGCTTACTTAAACGTCATATACAATGCTGAGATCACTACGGGGCTGTCTTAGAGTGTAGCTGCACTGGCAACCTTTAGGCTAGACTCCAGGGGTCATTATACCAGAACAACATGATTCTACCAGCCAGTAGCTCATTTTTCTACTAGATTGGTGCTACGCTCAGCATTTAGGTGCCAGATTCAGAAAAAAGAGTAAGGCGTACCGATGAATAGGTGCCAGAAACAGCTAATTAAGGTCATTTTCCATGATTGGTGCTGGTATCCACCAAATAGGTGCTGAGGACCAATTTTGGGGCGAGTCAGCTTTTAGGTGCCAGAAATAGCTTTTCTGGGACGCAATTAAATGGCGTCCTTACTCAATTACACCGGACACAGTGGGCCAAAAACCGAATTTCGGGGCCAAAAATCGAAAATCGTCTCTGAAAACCGGAAAAGCATTTTCAGATCAAAACAAATGCCCATTTCGGTTATAATGGGACCCAATGAGTCCAAAAAAATTGGTCGTTACTCAGGAACAAAATGACTGTTGCATAGTGTAATTAATAGCGCACGTATCCAAATAATGGAAATCTCACCCAACACACGTATTTATGTTAAGTGTTGTTTCAGTTTGTTTAAAACAATGTGAGGTTTGTGTTCAATAGCTATTATAAAAGGGTATTCGCTAGCTATGTTTTTCTATTAAAAAGCAAACCTGAGTTGTATATTTTAGCAAAATATTTCGATATTCAGGATTCTCTTCTTTTGACTAGACATGGGTTCATGCATAGAAACATGATTCATGTTATCTATGATTCATGCTACCTATGGACCAGATAAGAATATTTGATTTGCTCGCATCATCCTTCAAGTCATTTCGCCTTTTGAACCTTTTTAATGTTTTTGCAGACTGTAAAATGATATTAGCCAGCAAAGGTCACGTAATCCTTCAGCGTCACAATTCTCAGCAACACGGGACATTACCAATTTCTGACTTTTCCCACTTCTCTTTCTCAACTTCAAATGGCACCACACGTCTTCTTACGTCAAAAAGTGAAAACAAAGGTGTTCTCCACAAAGAGCTTCAAGCAGGACTTTTCATTTAATCTTGATTGAAGTGTCTTATTTTACTGGACATTTCGTATGCATCTGCCTGTTTAATTGGCAGATTAATGTAATCATCACGACATTGGGCTGCTGTGGTATCTGCAGTATCTGGTTCGTGTTCCCGGGGTACTGCTGCACTGCTGAGCGTAGGTCATCGGTGGCACGTTATCGGACCGCGCCCGCTCGTCTCCTCCGACAGATGTGGTCTCAGACTGGGCCCGTTGTTGTATGCGAGCGGCGCCCTTTTCAGCTGCTGTTGCTGACATCCCGTCACGAAGGTGTCTCTCTGTCGTGGGCATGGTGGTGTCTCTAACCAGCTGGGCGTTATCTCAGACCGACCATCCGGACCGGGAGCTGCAAATTGGCGCACTGGATATGGGAAACGGAATTGCACCTCGGAATGCCGTCGGGTCAGATCCATTTTTGTAATGGTGCTAGAATTTTCTAATGACGTAGCTGGTAGGGTGAGAGATTATCAGCTTTGGACGGAAAACTTCTTTTTTTTACAAACGTTCGTATCGTTTTGGTTAACCCTCGCCCATGTAGGGGGGGGGGGGGGGTTGGTGCAACCCCCCCCCCCCCCTGAGGCTTTTCGGAAATAGTGCAAAAACGGCGGCGCGCAGCGCCGCCAAATTTTGGGTACCTTATGGGGCAAACCTTGCGCATCTTTTGATAAAAAAAAATTTGACCGGGTCATGTCAGGTCACGGAGTTATGACGTCACAAAGGGAACAGCCTCCGGCCGGATTTTCACAAACTGAGTGCCAACGCCCGAGGTTTCCTGCCGGTGGTACGGACATCGGTTGATGGATCGTGATGAAACTTCCCATGCATGTTGGGGCAAGTATTGGCTATCTTATGGTATAAGAAACTTGACCGGGTCAGGTCAGGTCACGGAGCTATGACGTCACAAGAGGAACAGCGTCCGGTACTATTTTTGTAAAGCGCCCGAACCACTATTTTGCTAATTCTTGTCACCTCAATGGGAATATGCAGCAATATTAGCTTCTATAGGGAACAAATGGACCTCCCAAATCCAAAAATACAATCAGATTTCAAAAATTTAAATTTTGATTTTTCGAATTTCTGCCGCCGACTGTGACCTTGCCGACTTCCGGCGCTCCCAACGCGCCATTTTTAGAGCTAGGGAAACGAAATACATATCAAACGATAGAGAATTGATCAAGAAACACGATAGTGAAGGTTTCAAGTCGATA